GCCCGCGCTTCCAGTTTGGTGTAATCATGACGTCAATCTTTCAAAGTGATCCTCAAGGTCTAGTCTCAAGACCTCTGAAGCTCTCTCCCAGACTGACACGGAGTTGAGCCACATGTTTTCCATATTCGTCAGAATCCTCACTCTCAGCACCTCTGGCTTCTTTTGTTGCTCCCTGTCCTCTGAATGGATAGTCACGAATAAAGTGTTGTGTACTGCCACATCAATGGTACTTGTAGCCCCCTTTATTTCTCTTCGGTTTCTCTTCAGAGTCATCACTAGGCTTCCTTAGAGGCTTCTTTTCCCCTTGGTTTCTCTTCCGTCCAAGATTTGTCTCCTTCCACTTTGCTTCTTCAAAGTGAGCCTTACACACCAACTCCTCGAAGTTCCCTTCTACCCCAGTCAGCTTCTCATGAAATTCAGACTCCAAACCTGCAACAAATTGATGAGACAGAACACTCTTCCCTACACGCCCCAAGAGTTGAAACATGGACCAGTCCTGATTCAGGCCCGAGTCATAGCTGATAGACTATACTGGACTGAGGATTTGGGGCAATGTCCTGCTCCGATACCGATGAATCAGTCACGACCAACATCCAGTGTCAGGCATGACCCGCTAACGATAACAATATTCACTTGATTAGTCTTAACAATGGCAATAAGAGATCAACAGTGCACTGCCAGTCAGATGGGGCCATTTTTCTAGCTTTACTTGCCTGATTCAATACTGATGACAGCTTGGATCAGTGCTGATGGCCAACCATTACTGTATCAGCTATGATAAGATCGGGTTACATCAGTACTGGCAACAGTTCCGATACCTGCAAAAATAACAGATAAGAATCAGTATCGATGGCTGTCATTTCAGATTTGATATAGAACCAGTCTCACATCACTGATGACCAACATTAATGAATCAAGCACGGTAACTCTTGGGTATGTAATAATTCTGCTTCTGGAGTCCCATGATAGGCCGGGGGATATGCTTCCTCTCCTGAGCATACTCATCAACTGAATCATCACTGGTGACCAACATTAATAAATCAAGGATGGTAACTCTTGGGTGTGTAATAATTCTGCTTCTGGAGTCCCCATGATAGGCCGGGGGATATGCTTCCTCTCCTCAGTGAGCATACTCATCAACTGACTCGTTCGAACCTTGTCTCCTCTGATCAAACATACTTGTCTGTAGGGCGGCAGCACTAGTAACCGTTGAGCATTATGAATGGGGAAGACAGATCCTTCTACCGCTTCCTCGGTCCCTGTCTCGGAGAGGAGCCAGAGATATGCCAATTGCTCAGGTTTCTAGCTTCGCCTCCAGCTCGCTCTTCTCTTTAAGCCACCTAGCTTCTCTGGTCTCCCACTTCTGTTTCTCTAGCTCAAATGCCTGCAGCCACTGTAGCTCTTTCTCGAGCAGTTTCCTTCGTAGCTCAGACACTGCCGTTTCAGTGGAGCTCCTCGATCCGCTTTCTATCGCTCTCCTTCTGCGACGTCAGATCTTTTTTTCAGAGCTTCCCTTTCTTCCGCTAATCTACTTCCAGCTCTACTCTCCGCCAGAAGTTTCAACTGCTCTTTCTCTTCTTGGGCAGCTCTCAGCTTCTTCTCCAACATGAAGACGGTCTGCCAGGAGTCCATCTAGTCTCGAGTCCATCCAGGACACGAACTAAGTCAGCCGCCCACGTGCACGATGGATTGAGCTGATCAGCTGATCAGTGATCAGCTCCGCCCCGCCGGTTACTTTGTCATCTCTGATACAGGCCAAAATCAATAATAATTCAAGCCTGATGTCTATTTTGATACAGCCGGTTACAGCCCTGACTGGCATCAATGTTGAATCATGTTTGTTGCTCTGGCTGAACCAGGGCCTTACTCCAGCATGGTTGTATCATGGATGGTTATCATGATTGTATCATACTAGACTCATTGTTTTACTGGCTGCCTAAAATTCATGATACAGGAATGTATCAAGGCTGATCCTGATTGATA